AATTCGTTAACGCTATAACGAATTATTTGTTATACATACTGCATAATTCGTTATAGCGTTAACGAAGATTCTTATAACGAAGTCCTGATCAGCTGGATCAGTAACTTCATTATATCGAGGTGTGACTGTATATTGCATTATAAACTGTAATCGTGTTTTGACTTGTAAGATTAAAGATTTGTCAGCAATTAGTGTCTTTAAATCCTCCAATGCTAACTTAAAACCTTCTTGTTCTTGATCCCTTTCAAGTTGCTTTAGATTATTTGCAAGCTCCTTTGTAGATTGATTTCATCAATGAATCAGTTTTAGAATTAATTCTAGAATAGCATAAATAATAGTATACATATAAGATGTGGTATTTGTTGAGATATGAAAAAAAAAGTATCAAGTTTGGAGATACCAGCTGTTGCAGTTTTAGCAGCTAATTTTTTACGTCTTTGTGTCCTTTCCGAATTTCCAATATAAACCAATGGACGTTTATTTGTAAATGATGTTGGCACTTTTGCATTTTTAATTATAACATCAAAAGCAGTCTGTGAAATTTGTTTTAGATTTTCGAATTTATCATTATGCCAATCATCATCTGAATCATGACAATCTGACAATTCATCCTCATCACAATTTGCAATTAATAAAGTTGCATTTTTTTTTTAAAAGCTTTACTGTTTCGTGCAGCCGCAAGTTGAACTTTTCGTGTCTTTGGTGGCATTTTTATAAAGTAAAAAAATCTGCAAATGTAGATTGCACTAAAAAAAAATTTTCACATGTTAAAGATAAGATTGTGCTAAAAAAAATTTTCACATGCTAAAGATATAATCATTCTGATCCATTTTAAAATTTTTAATTCTGCCCGGTTTATAAATTTTGGCCCGCATTATATTAGTATCGAACTGGCCAAAATTTGCCTAATTTATTCAAAACATAGTAAAATAACTGATATTAAAATTTATATATTTTATGCTATAGTAATTCAATTTGAATAAACTCTCTGTTACATTAAAGAGTATTGTTCAAATTATAATTTTACAGAAAGATTTTTGAATAATATTAAATTCAATTTTTTTTTCTATTTATTTGAAATCACATGATAAAAAATGGTGGCTTTAGACTGCATGCACCATATTTAAACGATTTTTTTAAATTTTTTTTTTCTATATTAAAACATAAAAATCGTTATATTAGAAAAAGCGGTAAGTTGAAATATTAATTACAAAGATATTTTCGTATTTAATAACATCATAAACCAAATCACACACTTATCAAAAAAGGATTATTAAATAAAATAACTTAATGGCGTGGTAATGATAATGTTAATCAACCTTCACATCATTTATTTTTATTTTAAAATGGATATCATAACAAAATAATATGAAATAATTACAGTTATTCGACGTGATATATAATAAAAAAAAAAATACTTTAGTTGCGGTTCTAAATATCAATGACTTAAATTCACCTCACCTATAACAGTCTACGCAAACCATTAATTGACTTTTTGGTATAAAATTTTAATAAACTTTACTACAGTTTATTGAGTATGTGATAACAAAGCCTCACATGGAATATGCCATCAAGCATGGATTTGATAGTTGAATAAGTAGACTTATTATTTTACGAAATCATAATAGCCCATTTAAAAAGAAATTACTTACATATAAGTAACTAACAAGACGCGTAAAATTTGCTTTGAAAGTCACGGGAGAATTATCATAGATTGGAAGTTAATCACTATGACGACTCACCATAATCACGATTTGATAGCATTAATAAATCAAATCCACGTATGAAAAACAAACGTCTTAATAAAGAAATTACAAATTAAACTTAGTTGATATCTTCGGATCATTCTGATAGCCTACAAGCGCGCGATATAATCTTGGCTTTGCCAACTTCAAAACCAATGTACATATAAATGTGATTTTTTTTTTTGAAAATTGTGATTTAATATCACATTACTAGGAGAGTAGGAGTAAAGACATTTTTTGCGCATCTTTTTTTAAAAAAAAAATAGTAACGATCGACTTTGTATAAATATTGTTCGTTCGTCTAAAGCATCGTCCTAACCATGCATACAATGTTTAATAAAAACTGATACTCAATAAAAATTAATGATAAAGTTGTAAATCATGAAAGGTTTCCCATACGTTGCACTTAAATCATCCGTAAATTTTTATTAGAATATACATACATAAAAGAATATAATAAAGAAATGTTTATCTAAATTTTAAGTCTAAAAAGAAGGATCTTTAGCATAAGCATGTGCAGAATTCTCATCACCATTTCCGTCAACTATTATTTTTTTTATGTAGAAAATGTAATACTTTTCCAATAATATTATTAAATAAAATTAAGCAGGAAAATACAAGCTTTAATAAAGGTATAGTATCGTAATATATCGCTCTTTTTAAATATATAACCTGTTGAAATTTTATTTAAAAATAGTTAGATTAAAAAAGTAAATAAATAAATAAAAAAAAAGTTAAATGCAAAAATACCTGAATAACTAATTGAGGAATATTTTCAAGAATAATGTTAATGCAAGAATACTTAACAATTCTTTGTACTGTTTTTTCAGAAAAATTAGCATTAAACTCAACAAATCCTCCAAACTTTACTTTAGAATCAAGTAAAGTTAAAATGTCAAGATCGGTTCCTGCTAAAATAGTGAATACATTCACAAATATATTATTTTTATTAAACCAAACTTTGAAGTTATCTGCTTGTTCTGAGGAATTTTCTTCTTGTACTGATTCATTTTTGGCCTTTTCTGCTTGTTCAATATCTCTTAGTTCTTTGTCAATAATTCTTAATGCCAACACCAAACTTACGTTAAATGAACCTATCAAAATTACAAGACTGAAAGAAAATTATCATTATCGTAAATATTTTTATTTCTATTATAATATTTACTTTAATATAAATTAGTGCAGAAATCGTTTACCTTGGAATAAATAATCCAACGTTTTTCGCTTTCGTAATAATAAAAACCCAATCCAACCCAATATCAGAAATAGCAACACAAAATTTAAATAAAAAAATTGTGGTATCTTTTACCTAAATAATAATAAAAGGTGAGTAAAAAAAAAAAAAATTATTGAATTATAAAATTAAACAAATGGTATTTACACCAGGCAATTTATCTTTGGCGAAAAAGAACACTCCAGAAATCATTAATCCTACTGCAAATGCTCCAAGGAGACCATGAGTGAACAACGGATCAGCTATTTATAAGTAAAATATTAAGTTTTTATTTGAAAAAATTCTCACTTGAAACACACGCTCATATGATTGATAATGAAATGCTTACGAAGTCGATGGTATCCATAACTATCATCTAAATATTTTGAAGCTTCGCCGGATGCAATAACAGTGATAAACTTATGCTTAATCAAATTATCTAAATCACGAATAGCAAATTTTACAGTTCTTTCTTTTCTAGTTTCATCTTGATTGATGTTAATAGATAAAAAGATTTGTTTTTGAGGAGCCAAAACGTCGGTTTCAATCCTTTCATTGGTAGTTACACGTTTATGACTGACGGGAATTGCATCAGCCAATTCTTCAATTAATTTCGTAGTGAAAATTTTGCGTTCGCTCTCGTTAAGACTTTCGAAATATACTGTCCCATTTGCAGTCAATCGAACTTGTCCATTTACGCTCTCCGAAAATTCTTCTTCTATTTGAGCTATTTGAAAATGATTAAAATGTATACATAAAAATATTAAAAAGTAACTCATTTTCATATATCGTTAAACTGGAAAATTTATAAGAACTTACGTGTTGTAAACGCCCAAACATGATCTTTTACACCATAGAGAGGTTCTTGGTAAACTCGGCTCTTTACAAAATTATTTTCAATCGAAACATAGTATCTACTACCAGGTTGATTTAATGTGCAATTCAATAATTTGATATTAACCGTGGTTAAATTTCCATCTACATTTTGAGTTACAAATGTGTCGTTGGTTCCAGGAATGATTTGACGTAAATTACCATTTTCATGAAAAATTTTAATGAGACCAACTGACAAATCAACTTCATTATAATATATAATTTTAAGGGACTCTATATCGAGTGCAATTTTTTCATCAAGGACCGGAGATGTAGTGTCAATGTGGAAATTATCATACCCATGATCTATATTAATTAATTGAAAGTTAATTTTTTATTTTTAATTAATCTTTTTTTTAGCGACTATCATTCATTTACCTCGTTCTATCTCAAATTTCTTCAATTCAGTGGTGACTAAAGACCAATTTGGTTTCTCTCCCAGCTGAGCAAGTACATAAGTATTATTCCTTAAAACTTTTGATGCTCCTATAAAGTTTGTCACGGTATTAATTGGAAGGTCCCAAGGAAAAGATTCACCATTGTCACCTAAAAGATAACCGGAAACTATATTTTGACCATCAGATGTTCCGAATCCACTTAATAAATAACCGCCATACGGTAACGACGCAATATTGTATTGATCAATTAATGGATTCGTTTGGATATCATTCATCAATGGCAAAACGTTTATTACGGTTCCAGATGAAAGAAAATCAATTTTAAGATATAATTTTTTTTCTGCTCTAATTGTAGATTCGCTTGTTACAATACAAGTCTGTCCAATTCCTACGTAAGAAACACTGCAATCAATGTTAATAAATTTAATTCCTTGAATTTGTGTTTGATAAATAACAGCTGGTTCTCTTTTAATTGCAAGGCTATAATCTAATATTATGATGTAGACTCCCCCTCTTGAAGTCAAAGGACTGTCTATTGTGTCCACATCCGTAGAATTGGCAAAAACAATCGCATATTTACTGTCCACCATTGGAATGACATTGCTTAAAAGGCTAAGATTATTTTTGAAAGGTATGTTATCTTGCGCAAGTAGATTTATTTCTCCCGCTTCGGTCCTTTATAAAAAATTAATAAATAAAAAAATAAATAAATGTAAATGGCTTTTCATAATTAAATTTAGTATTTTATATGATAATTACACTATGTATTGCTGCCAGATTGTATTCGTAGAACCTGTTACAGGTGTGTAACGGATAAATCCTTTGTCGGGATCAAAGTTTGCAAAAATCTTAGCTCGGTCAGGGTACCATTGATTCGTAACAACATCAACAAAGCTCGGACCAAATGAAATTTTACTATAAATAAGAAGAAAGCAAAGTTAATAAAATTGCTTACAATCATAGGAATGTTTGATTTTATTTATTAAATATAAGAATGATTTTACATACCTGTAAATATCTCCATTTAAGTCAACAACCATTGCCCAATCAGTATAACTTAATGGATCAGTTGAATTCGTGGTTTCCGCATAAGTCACTATCAGAAAATTACTTCTTATAGGATAAATTCTAATGGGGCTCGCCTGACTTCCGTTAATGTCCAAGATACAATAGTTAAAGTCTTGTATATCCAATTTAATATCAACAGGTACAACGCTCCCATTGGGATAAATCGTGCGAAGTGACAAGTATTTATCAACCCAAAGTATACCTTTTTCAATAGGGTATGATAAATCTGGACGAATTATATGAAGGACTATCGTGTTATCATCATAACTAACTAATTTAAATATCGTTGGTGTGCTGTCGCTGGCGTTCACAGATGGTATGTCTTCATAAGTGAAAATATTTTGTGATTTTATTGGTAATATAGCAAAAGAAATGATTGATAATATTGCAAATCTTAAAATAAAATTATTAA